ACCGAACACTGTATGATTAAAATGTAAACTTACGCATTGACTCGGGCAGCTATTTTCCCCCAAGCTAACTCTTTCTCTTTCGCCGCTGCAACCGTGTTGCTTCTTTTACGGAATATGGGCTCGTAGTCACTATATGCTTGTAGTAGCACATCCATTTCTGTCGGGAAAAACGCAGACCTATTTTTGCTTGGTCCTGTTGCCATGGTGGCTCGTAATGTCTTCACTCCATTGTTCAGGGCTTTTTAAAGTCACGTGGCACGCGCCTAACTCTGAGTCAGCGCCCTGCTAGCTAGTTTAGCTGTTCCAGTATAGTTAGTCTCTCTCCTCCACGCCGGGGGTCATTACAATACTTTATATTGTACAGTATCATAACGTCCATTAGTAATGGAAAAATTATTCAATGTATTAATTTTGTTAAAAGCAGAAATGGAAATCTGAACAAAAATCAAAATTTAATTAAATGTAATTTAATTCTGTTATAATCGGCATGTTGTTTTTTTCTGAAAAAAAATTTAACGGACCCGCGGGCCACATCCGGTCAGGCGTACAATTACATCCGGCCCGCGAGCTCATTTTATACAGCACATCTTTTTTTTAATGGCCTGGCGATACGAAGCGCCGATAACACACAAACTACAAATCCCATAATGCAGCGCAACAGATGCCTTACCGAACGATAGGCTACCTGCGATCATTCCCGAGTCAATTATGTCAGATCAATCAAGCGTCCGTTGATGTATACAACCCTAATTTCAAGTCAAAGCTAGCCCCTAACAATGGCCAAGACAAAAGTTGATTCTGAAAACAGCTTTTCAAAACAGGTGGGAGGCTGAGTATACAGTGTTTACTGACATTGCTGGTAAACCCGTGTGTCTTATTTGTTGAGCTAATGTGGCTGTAATTAAGGAATATAGCCTAAGACGGCACTACGAGACAAAACATCAGGACAAGCTGAAAAACGTGAATGCAGAGCAGAAGCTACAGAAGGTAGAGGAGTTGAAGAGGAATCTGACATCACAGCAGACGTTTGCACCAAAGTGGAATCACAGAGTGAAGCTGCTGTGAAAGCAAGTTTTATTGCGGCAGAGGAGAAAATCAGTCCGGACATTTACCGAGGGAGAGTTTCTGAAGAGCTGCATGATGAAAGTGTG